TTGCAAATTTTCATTGTAAAGTCTAAAAATATATTTTTAAAAAGTAACATTCTACAGGATGAGTTAGGGTACAAAAAGATGTTGCTAATTTACTCGGACCCACATTTTAACTAACAGACAGCTAAATGAAAAAATATCATCGAAACTACAATCAAGATAATTAATATAATCATCTCTGCTTTCAATAATCTAACACTCCCAATTTTTTCTTAATAAAGGTGGTACCTACACAGACGATTTTAATAAAAACAGTAGGTTTTTTATCAACAGTATCATGTTACGTGCTGTGGACACCTGGCCGCAAAGATACAGCCGGTGATTATATTATGTTAATAATAAAGTAACGTTCGTCTGTCTGTTGGGTAAAGTTTACTATAGTATACGTAGACCTCCATTTCATGGTTCTGTACTCCCATTGTCCTGTGCATTTTGCATTTCGGTGAGGTTTTTGTTACAACAGATAATTTTTACCTACCATTACGATCGTTTTTCCTTTTTTTCTATAAATTCATACAATATTTCAATATTATTTTATCGTAGGTAATTGTATTTAATGGTTTTTCGTGGAATGAACAAAGATGAACCTACGTATCTACTTAATAAAGTCCTTGCCCAAAACTTCGTATAACGAATATTTTGGTATTCCTGTGGGAATTTTGGGAGCAAAATATAGCCTGCCTGTTGAATGGTAAAAGGAATCAATATATACCCTACTAAAGTAGGTACTAAATTATTCTTATTAATCTATAGTCCTAAACTGCACGCTTGTGTTATATTACTAGGTAGATTAGTATATTTTTCACTATTAAAGCCCACATTGCACATATACTATGTATTTCTCTGCGTAAAAAAAGCATTATCACGTGAAATTGTATTCACTGACCTTAAACTTAATCAGGAGAATTTGAATCGATCGGTATTGAAACTGCAATTTTACATACCTACCTACTATAAAGATTTAAATCGTGTACCTACATACATTTGTTTTGCTACAATATAGAAGTTTTCAATTTACAGGAACATATATATATATCTTTACATATGTAGACATATATATAAAGATATTATAGATGCGACGTTAATCTAAAGATAAACTTTAGACACAGATTAAAAAAAAATACAAGTGTAATTTGTTGTCACTGTTGACTGAACATCGAAGAGGATTGAACTCAATTCGTCCTACGTGCTTTGCTGACTTCACCCTTCAACATCAGCTTAATAATGTCTTTAGTGTTGGCCCCAGTAGGCCTGCCGTAACTGAATATAATCACGTAGTGACAGCCGGCCAAAACTAATGGTCAAATCTGAGTGCTAGCTAGCCGTCTACCAAAACCAATAGTTCTTTCTGAAGAACAAGGGAAATGAAGAGAATTAAGTTTCCCTCATCCAAGGATTGTGAAGGTTTCTTAACTTTCGCGTTCGCAGACAGAACGCACTACCTACCACGTCATTGAGCTCCTCCTTTACTCTTATATAATCCTATCATGAAACAATTTTAGCACGTTAATGTAAGTTTGCTTTGTCGCGCCACAATAGCGCATCATACGACCTACTTCATTCACAGTCCTTGTGCTGAATTTCAATATTGCCTACATGAGAGTGATGTTTAGCGAAGCGAGCGTAGCCAGGTGGTTTTTATTTACAATGCAAAAGTACAACAGATGTGGTGAAACCCGTTCTGTGTATGAATTTGGCGCAAGAAGCGCTTGCTTGTCCGTCAGGTGTTTTGGAACGGGTCCCGCGCTGCTGTTTGTTTCTTTGTCACTTAGAATTAAATATAGATTATTATCTGTGTAGAATATTTTGTTGATCGATTTGAACCCTATGTCGACAACGCTGAGCTGAGCTTAGAAGTTTCAGAGACATTTAAAAGTTCAGAAAACTGATGAGATAATCTTAGATTAGAGGAAGCACTTCCTAAAAGCCTACTTCTTTTAAGTGATCATCGCTTAAGCTAGTTTTCAATAATGGTTGAGGATACATTTTAGATTATCTTCCCTATATTGAGAAGAGGAGTGAAAATTTAAAAATGGTAGGTAGTGCTACAACCACAAAATCAGGTTAGGTTGACCATCCGGTCAGATTAGTTCGAAATATTAGACTCAGGTCTGGACTTTGTCCGGTTCTTTAATTTGTCCGTATTTTTTCGTAATGCGAGCGTCTGCTACCATGCCCAGATGCTTATTTGCCGTCCTCAAGCTAAAACGTGGCAAAATGACAAAACCAACTCTTGAGATGTGGCCAAAAAACGGCGCGTAAAGTTTCAATTACTGCTGTTTTGTAACCATTCATCACATGACGGATTTTTAGACTTAAACTATAAAAGATACAGATACTTGTTAAAGACAGATCGATCAAAATTAAAAACTGCATAAGATGCAATTAAAGCCTGAAAAATAGACCACATGTCGCTTAGCCGCACTTTAGTTTGAGGACGACAGTTATGACCTTTGTAACTAAGTGTCCATTCATTCACTTCTTTTTGTGACTGAAACTATTATCGAAATGTCAGGCTTTTTGAAATTCCTTAATTGTAACCCACGCCAGGTCAACGTACCAAAAATGTACTATCTTAGAATTTTCTCAGGTTTGTGTGTTTGTAATTTAACACCATTGTTGTGGGCCACGACAAATGGGCACGGATTACTGATTATCATAGGGCATTAGCCATTGGTAGTATCTAAGATGTTATTCGGAAAGAACAGTGCCAACCTGTCACAGTTAACTTTGCATCTTAACTGTCTCATGTTAAACGTTTCAGTATTTTGTAGATAGCAAGTTAAGTTGGCGCATTCATTATATTTTTTTCAAAGTCTGAAGCATACCTACCTAAAATTACTTGAAGGTTTAAAGGTTATGCATAGAAATGATGTAAACACAATATTCTAACAATAAACCCCTTTCTATTGCAGTAAACATGATTTATGTTTTAGAGTCGCGAAATTTACTTTCGCTGAGAAATAAGGATTTATATTGTACTTAAGCTCAGGTGGTCGGTAAGGAATACGGGGTTAAATTATTGTTTTTCAAAGAAACATAGCTATTATATTTTATTATGGTAAAGATAGGTATGTTTCTTTTAAAAATTATAATTAAATCCTATTAGAGGTAAATCAATGTAAGTTGTTAAGCATTTGTAACCGAAAAAAAGATTTTGAAAATACCTAAATGCTTTCAATAATATTTATAAACTAATAAGCTACATACTTAGTAGGCTACTAAAAATAGTATATTAAATGATTAAAATATAATTCAAATGAAATGTGATTTCAGGTCACCACTGCAAAGTTATACAAAACACCGTCATACCCCATCGAACAATCTGTACGGAACGCTCAAATGTCCCATCCGCATTTATCAATAGCTATACAGTATGTATACCATGAACCTATGGAATATGCAACAATGCCGAACCGTGGCCAGGATTTATGGTGTCACGGCATTTATGAACACAATGCCGTTCACGCCGGCTAGGGTTGACACTGTACGTGATGAAATTAAATCACCCACCCACGCTGTAGCAGTTTCTAATGATGAATGCAAAATAGTATAAACAATAATAATGAAATAAGATTCTAATAAATATAATAAAAACACATGGATCAGTTTTAATTTAATTCAAAAACATAACAAGAATATTGGCTGAGCTTTATTACATCAAAATAATGGCATACCATTAGCTAAGAGTTTTAATAAATGGGGAGGCAGCATGAGATTTATCAAAAATATTAGTACTAAGAGACGGATAGCCACACATCAAATTATCCAATTCTGTTCTCCAACTGAATTTGAGATTTATAATACTTGGTAGGTAATGAATGATGTTACACATTTCACAATCTATTGAGGTAACTTGGTGGCTGACGTGGCTGTCTATACCTACACCAGTTTAAATAAAGATGACCTACAGAACCATTTTCATTATGACCACACTATACTCGTTTCTAGTCTTTTATTAAATAATGTAAGTCAAACATAAATGAAATGAATGAAAATTTGAAAATGTTTAGAAGACCAAAAAGCTATAGCTATAGAATTTATTATGCTTTTATTCCTTTCTGTCCTAGGCTTCTTGACAGATTTGATAATTGGTTTTATAAGCATCAAATATCTAATACTGGCTGCTTCTACATACATAGCGACATCCTTGTAATGGCGTAATGCTTATCAAACTAATGTCTCAAATGGCAGCTATCGGAAACCGGAAGTGAGATTTTATTTTACAGAGAATCGCCGTACTGGTTATGGCTAATCCAAATTTAGACAGCCCTTATATATTGACGATCGTAAAATATAACTAGCTATTAGTAGTAAACAAAATGTTTAAAATCTGTTTTTAGAGCATACTTGATAAAAAGATTATTAAATGAAGAAAATAGATGGAAAATTGTTCTGAGGTTGCAAATCGCGGTAAAATGTCTAAGTTATTATTGTACTCATTTTGGATTTTATTTGTGGAAAAGAGTATGTTTGTTCTATAGAGCGTAATCTCATAGGAGTCGAAGCGGGGATTTTGGGAATTATTCGAGCGCGGCGGTATGTTATTCTGCCGCACTCGAATAAGGATGTCAGCCTTGCACCTTGTGCAGTACTCCCACCATACCTAAGCCCTTTAAATAGGGTCAAACATCAGCTAGGGTTGCAAAAATATTCAACAATCAGCCAGACCTTTTGGTCGCATCAAAATCTTCTATCTTTTGAATAGGAAGGAGCTTCTAAGGGGGTTCAGGTAGCATCCATGCTCTAGGTCCATGGATTATTGATAATATGATTACAATTTGTTATCAGATTGTAATCATATTATTTTCAATAGATTAGTCGCTTATAGCCCGAAACTTGTTATTTTTTGATGGATTGGATTCGTTTCGCAACATTGTTTTCCGAAATACCAAAGCAGTGTGAAATTAAATTAAAACAAATATTCGTATTCAGTTATTTACATATCAAAATGTCGCTCACATTTCCGTTGGAAAATTCTATGGATATTTTATAACACTTGCCTTGAACTGCAGCGCAAATTAATTTGTAGAATAATAATATTTCTCTCGTCATTGGCCTGCCAACGTATGGTTGAAATAATTGTGGAAGAAATCCTACTAATATTATAAATATGGAAGTTTGTATGTTTAAATATGTTTGTGTGTTTGTTACTCAATCACGCGAAAAGCGACTGAACGGTTTTGAAATTTGGTACGCATATAGTTTACGATCTGGATTGTGACATAGGACACTTTTTGTTCCCGGAAAAACTTAGTTCTAGTTAGGTTTCTGTGGGATTTTCAAAAAACGAGACCTGATGCTGTCGAAGTCGCTAGTTAATTAAAGGATAAAAAAGAAGTAGGTAACCGAAATCTTTTCTGTGCCGAAAATTCTAATGAGCCTTACGGTTTCTCGCCAATTTAGTATCATAAAGTTTTAAACAGTCTCATTCACATGATAAAGCATTAATTAGGCCTGAAGACGGAGTAACGCTACAACATTTTAACGCTTTTTAACTGCTATTGGAAGTTAATTATCATTTATCGCGATAAGATTCAGCGTTAATCCGCTCAGCGTTTTTCTCTTTCCGCTCATAGGAGAAACGTTTAATTTCTTGTTCTCGCAATAATTGCTCGCAGCTGCCGCGAGTCTGCGTAATCGGTATCTCGGAATCTGATCCGTGCAACCGTGCACGCAGGAAATAATAAACCGGAATAGCTCGGTACTTAGCTATTTTAATGTTTTGTGAATACTCATTCATAGATCCAACGGGCTTTGGCATTACCTAAACCCTAAAAAAACGAAATTCAAATAAAAGGAAATTTTTATTAGAACAAAATCCACTCGGTCCAGTCTACCACGTGTTTTTAAAATTCATAATTTGAGGTAAGTAGTTAAATGATTAAAATAATTTATAATAAATAATAAAACTTATTATTCATTAACCGGTTGAGAGTAAAACTGCTCTTTCATTAAATCTAGACGGAAGGGTAGACCTTTTATTGAGAAGAAAGGTAAGAAGCTTGGTAAGGGCTGCTTTTACGGCTTCTTAAAGGGCTTTTTGGGCTTGTTAAGATTTCGGGATAATATAGTAAATTGCTTTGTATTGGTGGACTATTACTTATTATGATAGTACTTAACATTAAATATATATATGATCTTTCAGCATTTATAATTACTTCTAAAGAATGTATAGATTGCATCTGAAACAATAAGTAAGTTAGATGTGCTACTTCAAAAAGTTTCTTTCTCATGCTCTACAATAATTGAATACTTCTGTGATTCAAACAAAATGATCAGAGTATTAAACATTTTCGGATTGTAAAAGCCTATCAACTGAATGGGTAGTTTTGGCAATTATTATGGTGCTAAATGGTAATCTTCTATTAAACCTAATTCAATACTAAGCCTGGTCTCATCATCGAGATATGTGTTGTGTATATGAGATATTTAGACTAGAGATGTAATTGTCTTTATCAAGATATGATGTTACGAATAGCCTAAATGTCCTTATGTCCTAAATACGCTAGATAAATGAAGTCATTGTATAAAATTTGTTAAATACACGAATATATCTTGGTGTTAAAGAGGGGTATCTGCATGCTTAATAGGGATGACAATGTATGTAATTTTAAACTTTTTTGGGATCTTTAATCTGTTTACAGGTTCCAAAAAAAGGTTTAAAACATTAAAAGTAAAAAAACTATTTTTTTTTGTAAATTCTGATTTTAGAAAGAAAGAAAGAAAGATAAACATTTTAAGTTTTAAGCTTTTGTAAATTAAATATTTTTATATAAATAAACAATACCATGATATTTCAATAAAGAACAAATACCTACTCAATAACTAACATTAAATAAAATCCTCACCTTGAAATACTAGTTTAACCACAAACGACTAATAGTAAACTTCCTTAAATGTTTAATCTATATGTTATCCTGTAAGTTTTTCCTGAATGAATAAATCAGGGATGATTTAATGAAAAACGTTTTAACTATGTGTGTCTTAAAACAGAAATTTAGATTATTATAAAAAAATGTTATAAAATAATAAATATTTGATTTTGTTTATTTGATGGCCTACGTAAGTTCTTCACAAGGATAGATTTGCATGTCTAAAAATATTTTTTTTTTAACTTGGGTTTTTCGGTAATTAGTGCAAGTGGGTACCTACTGATAATAGTATATTTCAGTTATAATAAGTTCAAAGAAAGATGCCAATTTGTAATCAAGTTATTTGACTTACATTATTGAATGTTCCGTACAATCATTAACGAAGGAAAGCTCCAGTGATTCAAAGCAATACTTGTATAAATACAAAAATAGATTCACATTTTATGTTGTTACTGTCTTTTATCGCGGGCACGCAATGTAGGTCGATCTGTATTGGGTTAACGATGTACACAGAGGTGTCGCCTCCCAGCCTTTATTGACATCCGATCCGATCAAATTGGGCCATAAGATGACTCTAACTTTCCAGTGCCTTACTTCGGAGAAAGCGTTCAGTTAATGTTGTTAATTAAAAAGTTATTGGGCTGCGAAACAATGTCGTTTAATATTTTACACTTTATGCGAGAGTCCTAAAAATTATGCTAATTGTTTTGTTCTTACTTCGATTTTACATAGGACAAAATAACTGTATTCCAAAATATCTTTTTAAAATTTGAGTTTAGCGACTATACCTAATATATATATATTATACCTAATATATATATATTAGGTATATATATATATAATATATATATACCTATATTTACTTTTCTTTCTATAGAACTGTTATAAACAAAATTTATTTTGTGCGAGCTGGCATACAACATAATCATTACACAAAAAGCTCCTTATTAAAAGCACATAAAAATAACTTTATAATTTAAATCTTCTGAAAGCAAGCCTATCGATCGAATTCTTCTTTTACTCTTTCGTTTTATACTTGTTAAATGCAGCAGTAACTTCAGAGATGACGTCACCGGCACAAATTTTCAAAACATTTATAATCATAGATCTAAAATTCAAAATATATTTTTATAAAACCTTTTCAAAGTCTGTTTGGTTTAAGTTTTGGATCACCTTTATCTTAGTTCCATGACTTGGTTTTGGTTAATGTAAATAAAATTTAATAATAACGTTATTGTTCCAAATGTATATTAGGAACAAACCTTTTTTTGTTATTTATTACCATAACTTATTGATGGCTCCTCCGTTCAAGGTGAGATTGAAATCAATAATTATAGCCTATTGTGTGTTGAGGTGAGTGAATCACTAAAATCTTTGAGATGTGGGTATCGTAATAAGCATATGGGGGGGGGGGGGGGGGGGATTGGCAGTGTTTCGAAAAATTTAGATTTATTTAAGAGAGAGCATTTTCGGTTTGATTGGAGCGCTTTTTGGGGTAAACCTCCACCTAGATAGAATAGATAGAAGAATGCAGCCAAATAAAACTGTTCTATTTACTAGTAAGGTTTTCAGAGTACCATAGGTCAGAGTTAGGGAATGCCATGCGCGAGTGACAATGCACATTATGCTTGATTGCCTACCTTGTTACACGATTAAGAGTTAGATGAAAAAATAATACATAAAACCATGCAGGATGCGGATAGCTTGGCCTATGTAACATAAGTGTCGCGATATGATACGTTACAGCTTTTTATCGACCCTCAACTCTCAAACTCCATTGCAGTTTGACAGCTTAAGTCGAAAAATCGCTTTTTAGTAGTCATGCTAAGTCAGGGCACGGCAAGACTGATCAACGTGGAGCTCTTTGAGGATACCTTATACTCAGTAGTGGGCGTCGTATGCCTGAATGGTGATGATGATGCTGACATAGAATAGCATATATCATAGCACTCCAGCACGGGTCATTGCTACTTAATAAAATCCATTCAGTATTCTTGCGCAAATGACCTTCTTCCAAATTTAGTAAGCAGATTACTGTTATTCGAATTTTTTATAATTGTATTCAAAATTTAGTAGTTTTTTTTCTGTTTATTGGTTCTTCGTTTTAGTGGCATAATAAAGTGTGCGCTCGCGCACGGCAATGTGCGAAGGACGTCAACCGATTAGTTGCTACTACATACATACATATAAGGTTGTTAAGACATGATCACTCATTCGAATTGACAAGTTAATAAATATATATAATATATGAAATGAAAACAGTAAACGAAATTGCTTTAATTTAATGCAAATTGAAGCATAATTGTAACGCAACATTACGGTTGAATGAACCATATGTACACTCTGGTTTTTAATTTTCTTTCAATTAAGAATGTTTGCTATCCGTGTATATTTTGGAGATTGTGTTTATTTTTCAAGACTTTGATATGAGATAACCCTATGAAAGAATTACGTCATCAGCCGCCATGTTTAGACTACAGCAGGTCACTTAGCTGCCTCAAACAGTGGGTGAACAAAATTACAGTTTGTTCACATTATTACTGCACAAAAAGAACGAAAGAGTATAGCTATAATAATCATAAAAAATCTACTCATCCCAATTGTCAGACTCCAAACAGTCGGATTCCAAACAGTTATTCGGGCGAATGCACTACACTAACCGTTTTTGCTGCTGAAACCTTGATGGCCGTGGAATTTCTTCTACCTACTGGGCTGAACTATAATGTCCTATAGTTGTCTAAAATGTGAAGAAGTGTTGGCGCCTTTTAGCCTCAGATATACTAGAAGTCAATACATTACATGTCCATCAAGATCATGGTAGAATAGTAGCGGTTAGAACATTGGGCGCGTTTTTTCACTAAAATTTTCTTAACATTTAAAACTTATCAGTTAGTCATAAAATAAAAATAAAAAAATACGAAACATTTAAAAACCATCTTTAAACTTTTACCCTACCGATGAAGTATAAATTATAATCATTAAGAACGTAACCATCTCACTAACTATTTTCTGGTATAAAGTAGGTATAGGTAAATCAATTTCATTAACATAGAATAAATTGATTCATCAATTAAGTATTTTGTTTTGATTGTATCACCAATAAGTCATTCATACCTTTGGTCTGTTAAGTGTGAAATGCAAAATAATGTACTCAGTGATCAGTGACTTTATTATTTAGCAAGTTAGCGGTATTTTTCCTTCTAATATAATTTAGTTTACATAGTGGAATGAATCATGAAAATCATGATTGATTGGGCCGTTTACATCTCTTCATATAATACGATGCTGCAGCCTAAGAAATACTGCATTCGCCCAGTTTGTAAGAAACTCTGGTTCGAGTCCAGCCTGATACTTGGCGAAGTTGAATTTATTCTAGTAATAAATTCCCTTAGTCTTGTGCTTGAATAAAAATGTAATAATTATTATTATGAGTATCATAATATATTTATCCTCCGACTCAGGACTCAATGCAAATTCCACTTCCTCAACTTTCGAACATTCGGCATTGATAGTACCCATTAATTATATTGAGGGGCGCCAAAATTATGTCATGCATGAACTGAACCGGGTATGCGATCGGTAAATCCAAGTCAGTATTATTGTGACGTGAGTAGAATAAGTTAAATGGATTTTTTTATAAAACAAATTAGATTTTATTGCTTACGTGATAAGATTGCATATTTTTAGGGTTCCCTTCCCTAAGGGTAAAAACGGAACCCTATTGCTGTCACTCTGTTGTCTGTCTGCTGTCTGTATGTCACGGGTCTCTAGATCGTAAGTGGAATAAGTTACAGAATTGAAGTTTTGGTAATATTGTATAGCGTTTTTTATATTTTGTATTTTGCCAATGCCAAACCCGAACATATAGTAAAAATCAAAATATATTATTTTTCATTATTTTTTCCATCATAAAGAGGAGACGATTTTTTTGTTATACCCCAGCATGTGACACATCATTGTTTAGAGCTCGTTAAGTATGATTTATATATTTTTTTTTATTTTCAATAACAAAGTAACGGGGGGCCGTCAAAGCTGTAATTATTAGACGATTTTTGTTACTGTTTTAATTTTTGCGGTTTGTTACGATATCCCATATAACAGACGTGATTTTTTGCCGTTTGTTGCTCAATATTATAATAGTGTCTAATATTGTGTAGAAAATTGGAACCTTCGCGCGCGAGTCCGATTCGCACTTGGTCGATATTTTCCAGTACTTACGTCACTCACGATGCGCCATTGTTTAAAGTTCAAGAATGTTAGTGTAGGCACACCTAAAATGTATGCATAGCTTTCTTGGGTGGCAGACAATGTGTCTAGTGTTCTAAAAATCTTAAATTAATTTTATAGATAATTAAAAATAATAATTAATAATTAAATTTTGGAAATTATTTTCAGAATAAACAAACAAATAACATGTGCAATTACCAACCTCAAATGGCGATAAGTAGGTATTAAGTACAACCGTCAAGTCATCGACGAAAATAAATTACTAAGTCGATACTTTGTCACGCATAAGTATTGAAGTCACGATTCAATGAGGTATGGCGTCTGTCTGTCGGTAATACATATTATATGTTAAATTTTGATTACAATACAAATCAGTTAAACGTAAACTGGAACTTAGTGTGACACTTGGCTTAAATATAGGCCAGACATAATCGACCATCTCGGAAACTTAAAATATTTCAATAACAATAATTTGAATTATTGACATATTGTATAATATTCAAATTTGATATTGGAGATGATGATTTAGCATGATGCACTACAGACAGCGGAGAAATGCGAACATTGGTTTTGTTGTAAAATCCAATAGATAAAGCCTGCAGTATTATAAAAAACCCTGTATGACTATTAAAAATTACATAAATACTTACTAGGTAGTTCATAGTCTATACGTACACCAGTAATTGGAAATTATAATATTACTTGTGCTTTGTATCTCAAACAGGATATGGAGTAAAGAAGGATGGAAAAAAAACGGGAGGCTTTACGTATGCATGTTCATGGTAAAGCAATTGCCAATCTCGTTTTCAGTTTAAAGTTCCGCAATAAATATTTATGATAATAAGTAGTAATCATCATCATCATCAGCCTATTAATGTCCACACTGCTGAGGCACAGGCCTTCCCTATGGATGGAATAGAGTGGTGGGTTATGGCCCAATCTGGCCATGACCCACCACGCAGGCCCAGTGCGGATTGGTGGGTGCTAACGATTGTAAATGCAGCCGGGACCAACGGCTTAACGTGCCTTCCGAAGCACGGAGGAGCTCGAGATAGTAGATTTTTGGTCACCCATCCAAGGACCGACCACTGCGAAAGCCGAACGCGCTAGCCACCCGCGCTATCGAGCTCCTCAATAAGTAGTTATACTCACGGGGAATTCTTTATCAAAAATGAGTTTTCACATCGTGCAATAATGAATTCTTTTTTTATCAATGAATTTTGGATATTATTAAAGTGTCAATAACATTTAACTCCTGCTAATTTGTAAAATGTGTTTTGTTTTACAATCTTTTTTTTGTTTATAATTTGATGCATTAGGTAAGTACAAATTTTCTGGTGAAGAAACCGAGCAGACCTTCTTGTGACCACGGAGCCGGAAAAGGATGTCAAATAAACGCGGTTCATGGCTTATTTAAAAAAATTAAACTTTGTTATATGATTGGTGTTAGTGAAAATACAAGTAATATAATCATAATATTAAATATTAACAAGTAAGTTTAAGTGTAGTAACTATAGACTCTACAGTAAGTACCTTGTAGAGAAGTCAATTTATGATGAGATTCATTTATAATCTGTATAATTTGAGATTATTAGTATGTCA